TCCTTAATGTGAACTGAACTGAACTGAACTTATAAACTCAACTATATCGTATAATAAAACTTTTGAGAAATATGTTTTCTCATTTGCATTGATGGAATCACCGAGTAACAAGGATGAAAGTTGAATACTAAAAGATAATGAGATATTGGATCCGTTTATACTTTATCATATTTTTCGATAAAAGAAAAAAGAAATCAAAGTATATATATTAAAGATTAGAATACAATTTTCTTCCTTTTTTTTTTTTCTTTTTTTTACGAGAAACAAGAAACTTATAAAGTTTTTTTCTCTTTTTATATAATATAAGATGAAAATCTTTTTCGAAATATGTTTTTATACATTAATATTAAGCGAGAGAATGATATAATATTTTTGTTTGATATGAAATTTAAATCATTCGACACGTTTCACGTTATATATGTATTGATTTGAAATAAAAATAATCGATAAATAAAATATAAGAAAATAATCGTTGACATTTGAGTTATAACATTGTCGTATAATTGCATTTAATAGTATTCCAATCGTTTGTTTAAATAATAATAAATCAATAAAAACTGTTGATTCAAATAAATGTATATTATTTGAATCCATGGATATATATTTAAATAAATGTCAGAAATAATCTATCCGAATTCCAAAGTACAAAATTTTCAATAACTTTCATAAATCATTCAATAAATTTGACCAATTTAATGACTTTAATTAAAATAAAATGTATTGATAATTGAAACGTATATGGAAAAATTGATTTCAATGATAGGATATTTAATAGAAATATTTCACTGTAATAATATAAAATATCAATTAAATATAAATGAATTATTTTACCTTCTGACGATTGACGTTCAAGTGGTGCCGAGCTTCAGGCCCGGCTCCGTGGTTCGCAGGTACAATCCTTTTAATAATATTCTCGACATTTTTCCACTATCACCAATACCACCTTCCTGTCCTAACGTAAAAACGTTTATTTTTTTTCCCTTTTATCAGGAAGAGATATCAAAGATACGATAAATCTTCTATTTTTATTATTTATCCTCGGCAATTATTAGACGAAACAATCGTACAATCTGTTTGACAAAGAAATATTATTCCAATTTTCATCTTTCAGATATTCTTGTAAAAATATAAGCCTCTGTGTTTATACGTGTATGCGTGTATGACGTTGTTACGATACAAATGATTAATTATTTATAAATATAATTAATTGTATATTCAATTATATACACCATCGAAATAAATTTTTTTATATCACAACGCGTTTAAATATTTAAAATTTAAATATATTTCGATTTTTCTTAAGTTCGCATATTTTTAAGCTATTTCACGTTGAAATAGTGAATTTTATTTGCTAACTATATATGTTCGAGGAAGGAATACTAATAAGGTTTCATGAGATGCAAAATTTTCAAGCCAAGTTTGAAAACGTATTTTCTAGACGAGCATCTGTCTACAATGGTGAAAATTTGGAAAATTACATTTCTCAGCTACTAAATTGGGCTAACGTTCTTTTCTTTTCTTTTCTTTCTTTCCTTTTTTTTTTTTTTTTTTTTAACTCGAAACACATTTCTTCATTCAATTCTCTTCTTCTTATCTCGTTTATCAAACTTTTTGACAATATAATTCATCGTATAAAATGAAATAAAATTAATCTCGGTAAAAGAAATTGCATAAAAATGTGATAACACATAATCATTTTCGAATTGTTAAATAGTTTAATTAAATATTCAACAATTCGAACAATTTCCGATAATTCCGCATAGCGATATATGCAAAGTAAAAGTCGGTGCCAAAAATTGGATTACTTGTCTCTCTCTCTCTCTCTCTCTCTCTCTTTCTCTCTCTGAGTGTGAGTGTCGATTATTAAAATATCACATAACGAGTAAATCGAATTTAAAAGCGGTTAAGAACCAAATTCCTAATTAAAATCAATATATAAATAACGTTAATTGTATTTGTGAATTGATGATGAATAATATATTTTGAAATTTGTATCGAAATCCCCAATGACAAATATCTTTTTTTCGTAATCTTATTTAAAAAAAAAAAAAATATGAATCAAAATACGTAAGGAAACTTTTCAAAATTATATGCACAAAACACATCTCGATATTATTTATATAGAAATATATTATAAACATAATAATAAAAAAATAAGAATTTGATTGGAATAATAATGCACTTTCAAAAGCGTTATATATCAATCATTTATAAATATTATTACAATTACATTTTCAACATTAAATAAATCATTTTCATTTTAACGTTGGGCATTTAAATATTAACAAAAAAAAAAAAAACAAAGAAAATGTTTAATGTGATAAGAATGTTACGAATATAATAATTTTTATACGTTCGCTTTTTATTCCTCGTTTCTCATTAATTCTTAGAAGTTCATTATTTTAAATATATATCATCACACATACCGTAATAATATTCATTTTCACTTTAAGATAAATTATATTTTCTATTTATATAAACATCAAATTTATACAAAATTTGATTTTAATTAACACTATTAATGTCATTATAAACAGTGTAGGATATTATTAAACGCGTATAAATACGATTGTGTATTATCATTAAATGTAATATTTTATAGATAAATTTACACCACAGAGAGAGAACATTATATTTTCGTAATTACAAATTATACTTTTTCAATTAATATTTGATTAATGACGTGAACAAACTAATGACATTTAATATTATTGTATTATCTTGATGAAATCACATTTCACGTGGTATTTTAATTTAGATACGAAAATGATGATTCAATTGATATTGGATATATACATTGGATAAAAAAAATATATGTCAAATCTAAAGTAAGATTGGTTTGTGCCTTTGGTTTGCTTATTAAAGCTTCGTTGAATCTCACGAGTCATCGATCAAAGAACGTCGAAAAAATATGTTTAGTTAGTGGTCGATTGTAAGCTTCCACCTTACCATCAAAGATTTGATAAAAGATTGATCGGAAAAACACATGGGAATCGAAACGTCCGTCATTTTTAGTTTGTCTTCTATGTGATTCGATCGATCCTACGAATAAATTATCTTTCATTATTCAAGGATATTCATATTATGCATAATCGAATCGAATCTTCGAAGATAAATCCAAATTTGTATTTTTTTATTCTAATTTATTTATATATAAATTTCATTGAATTTGTAAATTATCCTCTCATAGATCTGCTTAATTAAATTTGTCATTTTGTTTTTGTTTCCTTGTTAGAATTTTCCCATTATTTTTATTCACTCAACACGACACTTTTCTATTTTTTTCTACATTCGATAGAAAGGAACGAAGAAGATTCTAAGTATTGGTAAATATTTATCAAAGGGCTTGCCTTTTATATATAAAGAGGATGTTTTCGAACGAATTTTAATAAATATTTCAAAATACGCGTTTACAAACGTATAAGAATTATAAAATATTTAAATACGTGAAAATATAATTTCTTACTTTCTGACAAGAATATGTATATATTAGTTTGGGATGTTTTTAAAATAAATTCTATATAATATAATCTTTATAGAATGTTTTTTTTTAAGAACAATTTAATTAATATGTGAAAATAATAATCATTATATATTTCTATATTAAATAAAACAATATTCTATCTGATTAATATAAGATTTATCATAAAATTGTATCTTCCAAAATGAATATTATTATCGAAATAGTATCGTTTCGGTAATTAACACGGATCAATAGTTTCAAATTGTACGTTCATTTAATACCTTGGAAAGGTGCAATAACGCGTAACTTCGATATCAATGATAGGTATCAAATTACAGGTGATTTCATATTGTTTCTTGTCCTTCCCTTCCATTCCCTTTCGCTTTCCCTTCCCTTCCCTCAATAGGCAACTTTTCAATTCTATCTGAAAATAAAATTTCTCGTTTCGTTTCGTTTCGCAGTCATGTTTATTTTTCTTTCGCAATTTATTTTCTATGAAACAACATTCCGAGAGGGTCCTATTTATTCCTCGTACCGTGGCATTTATTTTTCCCCCTAAACGTCTCGAACTAATTTCCTTGCTGCTACTACTACTACTACTATTACTAGTACTTGAGCAAACAAGCACTTTTTCTTGAAAGAGAAATAAAACGTTTAGATAAAGGATCCTGGCCAAGAATTTTTTTTTCATTTTTCTTTTTCAAGAATTAACATAAACAACAACGATATTTATATTTTTGTACTATGGTACTTTCATCTAAAATCCTATATATATATATTTATATGAATCGATAAATAAATCTTATAAAAATAAATATTAAATATATAAAAATAGAATATATATTTTTTTTTAGGAAAAACGTTGTCGTCAAGATACCCATAAAAATAGATAAATCGATAAATGTTTCCTTTAAATATGAATATTATATAAACCAAAAAAAAATCAAAAAAAGAAATATATTGGGATATACCAATATTATTCAAAAAATTTATATGCAAAAATACAAATCAATATAAATATGTACGGTAAAAATAAATTTATTTAATCTAAGAATAGAATATATTATATCATATTATAAAAGTCAACATTTGCAATATAAAAACATAAATCAGTAAAAATAAATAAATCAATCAATCAATCAAAAATATAAAAAAATGAATATTTAATTTAATAGAAACCCCATTTAATCTAGATTCTTGATATTACAATTTCTAATCGAATGATTATAAAATTTAATAATTAAATCACATTTCGTAAGATTTTTCCACAAAAATTGTTAGAAATTTATTTGATTCGTTAGACCAAGAAAAAAAAAATG